AACACGGTGGCTAACGAGTTGACAAAGTGTGTCATTCTCCAGCGCTCAATAGACGGTTTTAAAGCACCGCCAAGTGCCCGATTTTGCCTTACCTTAAATCTCTCCGCCATATATCAGCTTACACGTGTACGTACATTTAGTGCACTTAACATATACTACCTCTGTCCCCCTAAGTTTGGGACAAAGGAGTGTGGTGTGATTTTTAAGAAAAGGTAGAATTGTGTGGTTGATATTGAATTGATAAAGTGTGAATAAAGTAAGAATGAATTCTAGCCACTCAAATATTATGGGACAAACTTAGGGGGACGGAGGGAGTATTACTAGTAGATGTAATAGTCCCATCTTCATTAATGTCATACACACTTCTCTCTCTATTTGATTAGCTCTGTCTTCTCTCTAAAAATTGCTAGTGGTATTCCGACGTAGCTATCATGGTTTTTCCAAATCTATGGGAAATAGGTCTTGAGGTTTCGAGCCATAAAGTTGTGATAATTTAAATCATTCAGAAATAATCATATATTTATTCGTATCGTGTGAACCATATAAATATATCACTATATTTATTAGGCGCATTTGAAGCCTTAAAAAAAGACATGTCAATTAAGAATTTGAATGTAGTGCATTGACTACCGGAGAATAAGTTTCCTCATAATAAATTTTAAACATTTGAAAAAACTTTGAGCAACAATTAAGTCATATCTTAAAGTTTCATTTCTCTTGTTGTGTTTGTGCACAAAAACTTATTTCAAATCAATAAATTTTATGCCTTTTGACATTTGATCTATTAGTCCAACAACATCATGTTTTTCTGGCGACGTTAACTCTACGTGCATTGTTTCATTCTGTTTTATGTTATCATATCAACAAGTAGTACTTGTAGACTAGAGTGGCGTATCCAGAAAGTTTAGTCAGTGGGGGCAAATTTAGACTGACGTTATCACACAATTTTTAGTAAAGAAATGTTAATTAAAAAATCCACAATTTATTAAAAATAAAATAATTTTTTATAAGAAACAGATGAAATGTTTAATCATAAGTTTATAATAACTAATTTAAGTTACAAATAAGCAAGTGTGTTTAATACTAAGTGTGAAATGATGTGATTGAAAATACATTAAAATAAATTATTTAAAACTAACTTGGATCCGTGCAAAAGCTCCGTGCCAAGTCCGTTCCTATTTCGATGTTTTTTTGTAGTGGTTTAGATATTCTATAGTTTATTGAGTACAAAACAAAATATATATAAGAAAAGGATAAAATATGTAATTGTAAGTGATTTAAGTTACAATTAAACAAGTGGCAAATCCGTGCCAAAGCTCCGTGTCAAATCCGTTCCTATTTCGATGTTTTTTTGTAGTGGTTTAGACATTCTATAGTTTATTGAGTACAAAACAAAATATATATAAGAAATGGATAAAATATGTAATTGTAAGTGATTTAAGTTACAATTGAACAAGTGGATTGCTGAGTTATAAACAAGTTTTAATATTAAGTGTAAAAAGATGTTTTAAAATTACACATGTAGTACCCTGGTATCATTTATTAGCTACATTAAAATTATTAATTGAAATTTTAGATTTAAACAAATATAAAAAATTGTAAAAGCGCACAAAAATAAATCAGAGGTCTGTAAGCTGGGATTCAAACCTTTGACGCAAGGGAAAAGCATTAAGCATGTAGCGCGACAACCAGTTGGCTACTGCCGCAAATTTGTCTTTTTAGGACTCTAAGCTTAATTATAGTAAACATAAGACAATGATATAGGTACACAAATAAAATTTGATATATACGATAGTATATATATAGAGATCAGGCCAGCCTGATTGGGAGAGCTGTCCGGCCGAGCCCGTTTGAGCACCTTCTCGGTGGAATTTTTTGATGAAATTTGTTTAGCGTGTTCCTCATCAAGTCTAATTTGTCCATACCAAATTTTAGATCAAAATTCGACCGGGAAGGCATTTAAATCATTTTTTGAAGTTGACTGCGTCAAAATATACATATAAAAATGCAGTCAACTTAAAAAAATGATTTGAATGCGTTCCCGATCGAATTTTGATCTCGAATTTGGACAAACTAGACTTGATGAGGAACACGCTAAAAAAATTTCATCAAAAAATTTCACCGGGAAGGTACCCAAACAGGCTCGGCCGGACGGCTCTCCCGGTCAGGCCGGCCTGACAAGAAGAGTTCTCTCTCTCTCTCTCTCTCTCTCTCTCTATATATATATATATATATATATATATATATATATATATATAATGGGGTAAGGTGGGGTTGAGTGGGGCCATCTTCCCCCTGCCCCCACGCTAGATACGCCCCTTTTACAACGACATTGTGAATAACACGTTATCATTGTTTTCATCTATTATACTTCCTATGTCCCTTAAAATTTTGTCAAGTTTGACCGCCACGGAGATTAATAAAGTAAAATTGTGTGGTAGAGGTTTGTGCAGAGGAGAGAAAATTAACTGGAACCACAAATTCTTTACCTAAAAGAGAAAATGACAAAGTTAGTGGAACAACTAAAAAAGGAAAGTTGGCAAAGTTTTAAGGCACAGAGGAAGTATTTGTGATAGTGGCAGATGCAAATACATACTCCCTCCGTCCCATCAAATAGTTCACGCATTGACTTGGATCGGAGTTTAAGAAAGTGGGAATAAAGTGGAAATGTATGGTTGTGTTTGAGTAAGAAAAAGGTAAATGAATGTGAGCCGCACAAAACTTTCCGAAAAGAGAAATGAGAACTATTTTTGTGGACAGCCCAAAAAGGAAACCGAAAACTATTTTGTAGGACGGAGGGAGTGATTAACATCAAGATCTTTTTTATTCCATTATATTATTGTTGTAACATGATTTCGTGAAAGATCAAAATTGTAAATATTTTTATTTGGAATATTTACCTCTTCAAATTACTTAAATCTTCTTATGGGGTGTCATTATTAATCTTTTCTTCAATGTAATATTTCCATAAACTCAATGTTGGTTTCTAAATTTTATTGGCTACACATTTTTTTAATCAAGTGGTTTATCATACTACGTATTTTTATACTCCCTCCGTCCCCGAAAGAAGTTCCTCATTTGACTTTCACACACTTTTATGCAAGTAAACTTACCAGGGGGTAAATTTTACTGTTTTGACACTGTTTCGACACTGTTTGGCACTGTTTGGATGTAGATAACTTTCCATTTAAGGAAATGGGAACTTAAATTAGGGACATCCAAATAAGGAAAGTGGAAACTTCTTTCGGGGACGGAGGGAGTATATTGTAGACTCACTTGCAAGAAGTCTTTCACTATTCTATGCAAGAATTTCTATTCAAGCAAGAGTATTCATCCCGGGAAAATGTGACTGTCAGTTTATTTGATTATGAAAGCATCGGCAATTAGTTTACTTGAGTATGAAAGCATTGACAATTAGTTTGCAATAGTCCTGGACTTGGGCCGGGTAGTCCGACCCGGAACCGGTACTGTGCTGAACCGGCCTGGCCCGGTGGCCCGGCCAGTGACCGGTCTGGGTAGGCCTGGCCCGGGGGGTTCCCGGTGCGGACTCGGGTCACCCTAAAGCCGAACCGGACCGGGAGGTTCGGGCCCGGTTCTGGGATTTTTAATTTTTTTTTCATTTTTTTTTAACTTTTCGGGTTGGGCTGGGTATTTTGGGGCATATGGGGGGGTTTGGGGGGTTTGGGGGGGGGGGGTTAATTAGGAAAAGAGAAAAAAAAAATTGACCCGAGGCCCGGCCAGTCCCGAATCCACCTATTCAGAACCGGCAGCCCGCCCGGGCCCGACCCGGCCCTAGTCCAAGACTAGTTTGCAACCCTTGTAAGATTCTAATTCACATGCATTTATGCACGAATTAAAACAATATAAAATTGTTGCATTGCAGGCAATATCTTTCGTATTTTGGTTTCTTTATTGTGAGATCTATTTGTTGTAAGACATAAATATTCTTTTTATGTCTTGCATTTCATCAGTAAGCCTAACTTCATTGGAGATTCTTTTTATTGTTGTGTTTGCTCCGCACTATGGCGGTTCTTTCTCGAGCACTAACGCTCGAGTGTGTTTTGTCTCCTTCGATGTGGGGAATTGTCATGGTATGCCGACTAGCTTCATCTGGTTGAGGTTTTTGTCTGCCTTCTTTTGAACTGCGTAGAGAATGATAGGGACATAAATTGTTTTGGAATATTTGAGTGTATATACAACTTTAAATAAGTACATTTAAATTATATGTTATGTATTTGTATAAATAAAACAAATAGCTTAACTAACTAATTTACAAGGATAAAAGCTGACGGTTACATATAGTAACTATAATAATGCCACCTCAAAAGAAGTGCAATGTACATTTTCTACATTCACAAGTGATATATACACTTTACCCAGTTGTTTTTAACTTCTCCTATTTCTACATCTAATGGAACAAAGTAAGCAAGAGAAATTAATATTCACTCATATTCTAATTGCTCACCCTCCGAAACCATCTTTTAAATATTAATTTTTCTTACTTAATATTTGCTATTATTTTATTTCAAGTAAATTTAGTTTGGATATTGGGCTATTTAGAGAATTTTTGATAGGCCATTTGGCTATTTCCATGTAGCGAGTTGGCCCGGAACCGGACCCAGCCCAGCACTGTTTGGAACCGGCCCGAACCGGTGGCCCGGCCCCGGGGTTTTTTTGGTGCAGGCTCAGGTCACCCAAAAGACGAACCGGCCCGGTTCCGGGCCTTTTTTTTTCAATTTTTTTTGTATATCTTGGGTTGGGGACTTGGGGCTTGGTGTTTTGGGGTGGGGGGGGGGGGGGTCGGGGGTCAAGTGGAAAAGCAAAAAAATAAATAAATAAATAAACTAAGAAGCCCGAGGCCCAGCCCGGCCCATAGCCGGTGGCAACCCGGGCCGGTTCCGGGCCTTCCCCCAAACCTCAAAAGCCCGACCAGGCCTAGGCCCGGCCCGGGTCCATGCATATTCTATAAATAAAAACGAATCATTTAGTTATGGTCTTACTTGGAGAAACCGAAATTGGAACAACATGCACCCATGCAGCCAGACTGTTCTTTATCCACCTGTTTTCGTTTTTGTTCAAGCTCATTCCAGATTTTCACATCAACGCATACACCGAGTACGTACACAGCAATTGCAAGTAAAAAATAAATAGATGATCCACAAGTCAAATTTATGGAGTGAACACATTCTTCCTACATAATGTTAAAAAGATATACATCTTCAATGGTTACATTAAACTTTAAAATCACAGCGGACTGCAGATTTATCTTTTGACTACAAGATCCTTTTCATCCAAGCATCACAAAGACTGACATTACTGCACTCTCATCCTGCTATTCTCAGCTGCTCTCACTTGCAAGAAATACGGGTGGGCCTAATGGAGCAAAGGGAATGATGTTAATGTTTATGGCAAAAGTTAAACAGAGTGGAATGAACATTAACGCTTTAATCCAATGGGAACAAGGAGATTACTTTGGCTTTAGGGAAAAATACTAGTATGAGAAAACAATCTAAAGGAAAATTCAACTTTTGATCCCCATGGAATAGGTCGTTTTCACGTTTCATTCACTTTTGTTTTTCACTATTGGGTCCATGACTACAATCTTCTTGCCACTTTTGGTCCCTTACTGCCAGTTATCCTACTAATTTCCCATTGGGCGGGCACACATATTTAGAATGACCGGAAGTGACAAGAATAACAATAATCGACCAAAAGTGAAGAAAAAAAAAGATAATTATTGAAGACCAAAGGGAAAAGTTACCTAATAATTGGGGGATAAAAAGTGAAATACTTTCTAACCTCGTTTTTTTCCTTTTTATCTTTACTTTCTCTTGAAAATGCCCAAAGCCAGAACAGGGCAAAAAAGCAGTCGAAGCAGACAAGTGAATTTAACATACAAATTTTTAGAGAATAACATATATGTTTGTTAATTTTAAGGTAAATCGTGTCTGCTAGAAATAACCCGCTCTGAAGTGCATGTGAAAAGAAAACAAAACATGTAATGCAAAGTCAATTCTTAAGGTAAACCATAGGCGGAGACCAATTTTCCCAGAATTAAAGGGTCTGTGGAGGATCCAGCCTACCATTGCCTCTCTGGCTGTAAGCCTATCCTGATGATCATACCGAAGCAACTTGTCAAGAAAATCTATGGCCTGAAAGTGTGCATCAAAATCAACATCAGTAGACCTACGAAGGATCTATTAGTAATCTAGCGCTTCAAATCCTGGAGAAGGCATTACCTCAGGTGATACTAAATGCTGATTATCAGAATTGATAAATTTTGACCACGGCTTTCTGCTGTGCCTGCAAGAAGAGTTAATGGTTTCAAAAATATAATGGCATCCTTAGTTTTTATAATGTAATTATGCAAGTACACACTAAAACAAGATGGAAACAATGGTTATATATTACAAGGTTCATGTATGTCCTCAGCCAATTAATTCCCACCATTCCCCACTGCACAGATATGAAAACAGCACCGGTTGGGGTCACTGAGCATTTCAACTGGTCTGACCATCATCAGGTCTGGATATTAAAACCAGTTGAACTGTCCAACGAGCCAAAATGAGCCACTATAACATTAGTGTCGTGCTGCGTTAGCACTATGTCAGCAAGCACAGTACCTTTAATGCCGGGAGACTAGAAGGATTACATAGGGAAAAAATATTTCAGTATTTCACATAAGTTACAAAAAAATCAGAGACAAAAACCAAAATGAGAGAATTGTCAAATTATAGGGAAAAAACATAACTATTTCTTTAAAAATAATGCATACCTCCCAACCATAGCTTCGAGTTGAGGATCAAGCTCTAATCCATACTTGTGCAGATATGCATTCAACTCATCCGTTCCAAGAACCTAAATCAAAAGGATCCAGAACAAAATATCATATAAAAATCAGAAGACCTTTTATTATGTGTCAATAAAAATCAAAATTGCCCAACTATCACTGTTTCAATTTCCCAGTGTCATTTTTGGTTTTATTTTGATGAGTCAATACAGTAAAAACTACCCATAACTCCAAATTTTCAGGATTACCTTGGCAATTTTGACAAGCTGATCTTGATTATCATGCCCATAAAAGAAAGGTTCCTTACGAAATATCTGCATACATTACAGTGCAGAATAGCCATGAGGTAAGACACAAGTCAAAAGATCAAATTTAAAATCATGCATCGCAGAGTTGGTAAAGCATATTTTATATGCCAGAATAATGAAAAATATAACATAAACCATCACAGGATTCTTACCATTCCAGCAAACATGCACCCAAGGCTCCACATATCCAAAGAATAGTCATAGTCTTGCAAGTCAACAAGAAGTTCAGGACCCTTAAAATATCTGCATAATTTAAAAAAATCAAAATTGTTTTAATATGTTAAATAACTTAAACATGGAGTTGATAAGTTAACCCTGTTGAAAATTATCAAGTACATCCAATTACATGTAAGGATAACTACTAGGAGTCCCTTTCATGCAAGAAGCAGTTTCAACCTTCTATATTTCAGTTCAGACGGTTAATAATAAACAAATCATATTGTTAACTAACTACAAGATTGGACCATCAAATTCCAGCATCCCATTATATATCTGTTATATTCTAGTTTAAATAAGGTCCTTATAGGAGATGTCAGATGAGACACACAGAGAGATACAATAGCATGAGGGAACACAATGTAACGAATGAAAGAGTATATTTTACCTTGAAGCCACCCGGACATTATATTCCTTGCCTGGGTGGTAAAATTCAGCGAGGCCCCAATCAATCAATCGAAGCTTTCTTAATTCATGGTCAATCATAACATTATGAGGTTTAACATCTCTATGCATTATTCCTTGTGAATGGCAAAAGTCCAGAGCCTGCAATTTAATTTGAAAGAAAAAAACTCAAATAGCTTTTTCTTTCCATATGTTGTTTAGATGAAGGAATGAGCATGCACTAAGCAAAGCTTTACAGATCATCTAGAAATGGGTTTTATTATTACCTTGAGAAGCTCATATATGTAGTAGCGTATGTCATAATCTGTTAATGTCGGGTATAAAACCTTGAAATCTGTACTGTTTACATACTCAAATATCAAGCTTGGAGTTTTTGAGTGCTGATCTCTGACAATGTCAAGGAGTTTGACAATATTTGTTCCTCCACAGAGGTTCTGCAATATTTTGATCTCTCTCTTAATCTGCATCACAGCATGACAAAAAAAACAAATACATTAATAACTCATGATCTTAAAGTCAAATTTGACGTGTTTAAACTTTAAAACATTAGTATATTTGCAAACACAGCCGAGTTATTTTTTCCTTCAGATACAACATAAAACTATATGCCCAGTGACTTATATGGATAGTACTGATATGGACAGTAAGCTGAATATAAAGTTGATCTGTAATAACCTTGTGAATTAGCATATAATATACCAAGCATTCTCCAAATAGTCACTGTAAAATACTACTCCGTAATCCGTATAATATCATTCTGAAGTGAATCAGCACATATCCTACCTTTTTCTTTTTAACAGGCTTCAGAATCTTAATTATGCACTTCTCGTTGCTGTTGACATTTACACCCTCGAAAACTTCACTGTATTTTCCTCTTCCGACTTTCCGTACAACTTCATAGTCATCCTGGTCACTGAAGTATTAAACCAAGCAATGTTAAACAGCATGGCACATAACATGCATATTTTGTGTGGATGTCATTTTAGAAAACATTTGCTAGTGTTTCAGGAAAACTGGGCCTCTGCTAAGCATATCTCTTTGTATCTAGGACCCCAGCATATACAGGTTAACCATGTGATCCCTCGAGGGAGTGAAATCAAAACAGAAAACAAAGCTTACCAAAATTCTCTAGATTATGTGCAGAACGTGAGATGACCATTAAAGAATAATAAAAATATACTCTGTAATGATAGTTCAACATACTCCCATTAAAAGCAAAAGAAGACACTAGAAAGATTATAAGATTCAGAAATGAGTTAACTTTGAATGGTTGCAGCTAGTGGGTGAAGATTTATTAAGCCTAATTGGAAGGAATAAATTTTTGTTTTCATTGGGGAAATAAGGTACTGATATTGCCTCAGAAGTCAGAAGGTATGAAGAAATGATAAAATCAAACTGGAAGAACTTATTGAAGCTATAGAATGCCATTTCGTTGAATTAATTTAAAACAAATGAATATATATATATATATAGGTAAGAGATCAAATACAAACCATGCTTAAAATACTAACCTACAAACTCAATAATATGCAACACTTTGAAGTTCAATATGCAGTACAAATAACGTAAAGATGCACGTTGTGAATTTCAATATGCATTACAAATAATATGCAGCACTTTGAACTTTAATATGGAGTACAAATAATATGCAACACTATGAACTTCAATATGCAGTACAAATAATGTAAAGATGCACAATTTGTGACAGTTTGTAGGTTAGCATGGGAAGACTAGTTTGTATGTGATCTCACCCCTATATATATATATATATATATATATATATATATATATATGTGAGAGCTCTTCTCATCAGGCCGGCCTGACGGGCTGCCCCGTCTGGCCGAGCCCGTTTGGGCACCTTCCCAAAGGAATTTTTTTATGAAATTTTTTGAGCATGTTCCTCATCAAGTCTAGTTTGTCCATACCAAATTTCAGCTCAAAATTCGATCAGGAAGGTCGTCAAATGATTTTTGCAAGTTAACTGGTCCGGAAAATACATATTCCGGACCAGTTAACTTGAAAAAATCATTTGACGACCTTCCCGATCGAATTTTGAGATGAAATTTGGTAAGGACAAACTAGACTTGATGAGGAACATGCTCAAAAAATTTCATCAAAAAATTCCACCGGGAAGGCCCCGTCCGTCCGGCCGGCCTGACATGAAGTTTCATCTATATATATATATATATATATATATATATATATATATATATATATAGAGAAATATTCAGGTCAGGTATACCTGACCACTACCCCCGTCCGGCCTCCTCCATTTAGGGGTCTTCCCGATGGTATTTTTTGCTCAAATTTTTTGTGTAGGTTCCTCATTAAGTCTAGTTCATCCATACCAAATTTCAGCTAAAAATTCAATCGGGAAGGTCGTCAAATGATTTTTGCAAGTTAACTGGTCCGGAATATGTATTTTCCGGACCAGTTAACTTGCAAAAATCATTTGACGACCTTCCCGATTGAAATTTTGGCTGAAATTTGGTATGGATAAACTAGACTTGATGAGGAACATACACAAAAAATTTGAGCAAAAAATACCACCGGGAAGGCCCCCAAAAGAGGAGGCCGGACGGCGGCTCCGGTCAGGTATACCTGACCGGAAGATTACTCTATATATATATATATATATATATATATATATATATATATATATAGACTACATGCCACCAAGCACTCAGACGAACACTATTCCTAAAACAAATCCTCATATAGAGAAGTCCAAATCACAAATCAGCATCAAACTGTAATTCACTCCTAGTAATAAGAGAATAGAATTGAAATTAGGGTTTAAGCGATGAAAGAGTTACCCCCACTGGACAGTGAGCGATTCGTAATCCCAATACTCCCTGGGGCGAACCACATTGATGTCTGCGTATACTCTAGATCTGGACATGGCTGCCGAGATAACCGGCGAGTTAGATACGCCAAACAAGGAGATTGACGAAGCGCGACTAGTTGCGGCTGAGAACGGCGGCCGAAATCGTAGTTCGGAGGTTGAGAAATCGCCACCGGCAGCTTTGATCAACCTTGGCCGGCCATCACAGCAGCTACAACGGCGAAGTAGGCGCACCAGGTGGTAAGCAGATCGAATATATGTGTTCGTACTGATGACTCAGTACTGACAATGGGATGGGTCTTGATTTAGAAAATCGATTAAACACTAAGGCGCGATCTTTATTTGGGGTTGGGTATTTGGCCGGTGCCAAGTTGGCCAGTTGCTCTTTATTTGTTTTACGGATTAAATTTTAAGGGTCTTTCTATGTACCTTCATTGTTTGTAAGTGTAGGATACCTTTGCCTAATTGGCCCAATAAATATTTCACACGTGGTGATTTAGAAGCTGTTCTCTTCGCCTGATATGAATGCTTCTGATCTGAATTTTTTAAGTTCTGATCTGAATTTTTCTGATCTGATTTGAATCTTTCTGATTTGATCTGAATGTTTCTGATCTGGTTTGATCTGATCTGATGATTCTGATCTGATCTGAATCCTTCTGATCTGATCTGAATCTTTCTGATCTGATCTGATTTGAATATTTCTATGATTATAATTATAATTATAATTACAATTACGAATATAATTTAAATAAAATTATAATTATAATTGTAACTATAAACATAATAATAATAATAATTAAAATTAAATTTAAAATGAAAAAATTTATATCTATTACACTAATTATAAATATAGATATAATTATAATTATAATTCTATTTTTAATTATAATTACTTATATAATTATAATTGTAATTATAATTACAATATTTATCTCTATAATTATAACTATAGTTATCAATATTATTTTAATTATCCGTAAAATAATTACAATAGTAATAATAATAATAATATTAATTATAATAAAAATAATAATTATAATCATATATTATAATTATAATATAATTATAAGTATATTTATAATTATTATAATTATAATTAATAATAATTATAATACTATAATATAATAATAGTAATATAAATACAATTAATATTATTATAACAATATTATTATATTAATATTATTATTACAATATAATAATAATAATAATAATAATAATATATTATTATAATATTATATTATTATATTATTATAATATTATATTATATTATAATTATAATCATAATTATACTTATGATTGTAATGATAATTATAATTATTATAATTAATTAAAATTATAATTATAATTAATTAGAGGTATAATTATAATAATTACAATTGATTATACTTATAATTATAAGAATCATAACTGTAATTATAATCATAATTACATATAATTAGAATATAATATTATAATAATATTAATCATATTATTATTATTATAATATTGTAATAATAATAATAATAATAATAATAATAATAATAATAATAATAATAATAATAATAATAATAATAATAATAATAATAATAATAATAATAATAATAATAATAATAATAATAATAATAATAATAATAATAATAATAATAATAATAATAATAATAATAATAATAATAATAATAATAATAATAATAATAATAATAATAATAATAATAATAATAATAATAATAATAATAATAATAATAATAATAATAATAATAATAATAATAATAATAATAATAATAATAATAATAATAATAATAATAATAATAATAATAATAATAATAATAATAATAATAATAATAATAATAATAATAATAATAATAATAATAATAATAATAATAATAATAATAATAATAATAATAATAATAATAATAATAATAATAATAATAATAATAATAATAATAATAATAATAATAATAATAGTCTTCTTAATAATTGCATTTATATTACTATTATTATATTAAAATATTATAACTATTATTAATATCTTTTTTTATCATATTATTAATATTATTAATAATAATTATATAATAATAATGATAATAGTAATAACAATATTAATAATAATAATAATTAATATAATAATAAAAGTGACAAATCATGTTTGAACTTTTCTGATCTGATCTGAATGTTTCTGATTTGATCTGAATGTTTCTGATCTGGTCTGATCTGAATCTTTCTGATCTGATCTGAATTTTTTTGATCTGATCTGATCTGAATAAATAAGAATAAACAATAAATAACAAGAATAAAACGAACAGAAAAGCACCTTGATCACGTAATAAAAATATCTCAAAAATACTACATCAAAAAATAGGGATTATTTTATTTGCACTCGACTCCTTTATCAATATCTATGTTTTTCTAAGGTGCCTCAATGGCTCAACCACGATGTCTTGTCGAATAAGAAGACAGTATTTGTTCTTACGAAGAGGGCTCTCAACTTAGCATTCTTAATGTCGGATTGGTATGTTTAGATTATATTTTAGTTAGCCATCATTTCAGCATCTTCATCCTTTGAGATTTTTTCTTTCTTCAATCGGCGTTACATTCACTATTTGTTTTCGTTCTGCAAATTTCCTATATTTGTCATTGAAAAACAATCAATACTATCTCTTCTGGCAGTTTTTCAATATTAACAATTGATTTATTTTAAATAAAGGAAAATCTAACCTCCGTCTTATTTTTTCTTGTTGATAAGGTTGCACATCAGGTTTCTAAATACTATGTATGTAGTATAATTTTAGTGCTTGTTCATTTTCATATACCCCCGACTATCATATTAAAAATTTAGCATTGATTGTTCTTATGCAATTAATGCAAACAACACAACTTCAGATAGATAATAAGGTGTTATATAGGATTATTGTGGCTTGTGGGTGATGAACTGATGATGGGTTAGAGGATGAATTAAATAGAGATCTGATTTATACTCATAATTAACAAGACGGTGAAAGAATTAGCATTGATCAAGCAAATGTTGTCATCTCTACCTGCGACATTTATATATACGACATACACGGTCAGTATCATTCAAAGAAAATAGTTAACTAACTTTTGAAATATGCCTGAAACTATGATTTGGCTGCTTCTGCTATTCTGCACGCTCCTCAAGTATCTATACAATTTTTTTAGGTAAGGGTCAGATTGGTACTCGAAGTTGCATAAAAGGGGTCAAATAAGTCCTTATATCGGAGGCTCTGTCCGGCCGTCACCATTTAGGGCGGTTCCCGGTTGAATTTTTTGATGACATTTTTTGAGCATTTTAAGTATTAAGTCTAGTTTACTCATACCAAATTTGAGTTAAAAATTCAACCAGCAAGACATTCAAATGAATTTTTGAAGATAACTGCGCAGTCAAAAACACAGTTATCTTCAAGAATTCATTTGAATGCCTTCACGATTGAAGTTTTAACTTAAATTTGGTACGAGTAAACTAGACTTAATCAATAAGATGCTCAAAAAATTTCATTAAAAAATTCCACCGGGAACCACCTCAAATGGCTACGGCCGGACAGTAACGACTTATTTGACCCTTTTAATGCAATTTCGAGTACCAATCTGACCTTTACCTCAACTTTTTTTACACTTTTATCTAATTTTTGTGTCATTGTGGAATATTCTTGAATTCATATTTGAGTATTAATGATAATTTATTTTCAGTTCATGAATTATGTGATATTACTACTCACTATGGTGAATATTATGTGCATCGGTTCCCATGTATTGGCAGAATATATAAGCTTAAAAGATGCACACTGTTGAAGATGGCTTAAAAGATGCACACTGTTGAAGATGTTGGAGTGCAAGGGATTGTGGTTCCTCGGCAGAATATAAGCCTAAAAATAAGATTGCACTTAATATTTGGTTTATTATGAAAGTCTGAATGGAAATCGGAATGACAGTTGTTGGGGATTTTCCTCCGACATCACTTGCTCCTAGTGGTATAGCTCTGGCCGGCGGACACATAGTACTCCGGCGAACAACTTATTTCTTCTTTCTCAGTTTACGGCTGCATGTTTGTTCATCGTTGTTCACCAAAGTAGCTGCTGAACACCTCCTCTGAACCAGACCATCAAGGCATCAACTTTGAGAGAAACCTGCAAAACAGAACAACAAGAAACGCCGTGGCTCGAGACGCGTAAACGCTGTCCTCAGAAAATTTTTCCGGCGGACGGAAATCTTTCCCTAAGATATAATGAGCCCTTCGACTATAAGTCGGAACCAGAACTACGAGGGAAATTATCATAATAATATATCTAGCACAAGTCTTGAAGAAAAATCATTTTCAGCGAATGCCTTTTGAGAAGATAAAGTTATGCCCAGAAGAAGGTTTCAAGAAGAGTTCGTATGTCTCCTATGTACTCCAGTAGCTCTCATTCTATTTATTAATACGTAGTACGTAGTATAATAATATACTCCGTAAATCCGTAATAATGAATTGAATAACGAATGATTGTTGGATCCTTAAAATAAGGAGAGGAAAAAGCTAAGCCTAGTAAACTTGGTCATTAACTAACACACGTTACAAAACTCAAATGTGTTGTCAAATAATTAAACATCCGTTAAAATTAGGGAAAAATAATTAAAATACCCCAAACTTTGAAGGGGTGTGAGATTAGCACCCCAAACTTTCATGTGTAATTTAAATACCCCAAACTTTATACAAAAGTTATTTTATATAAAAGTTATTTCAAAGATTCATGAATTTATTTGCATAACTTAAAACAACAAATTGAAAACATTGCAATTTTATAGAGTTGTGAGGAGGGGGTGGGGGTGGGAGGATACTATTTATTTTACAATGAAAGTTTAGATTGTTAATTGTATCTTCATGAATGCTAAAATGTTTTATGCTATGAAATTAACACCAACTATTAACATTTTTGAAAATTAATAATACATGATCATGGTGCGAAAATAAATTTTTATATAAAGTTTGGGGTATTTAAATTATATACACAAATTTGGGGTGCTTACCTCACACCCCTTCAAACTTTGGGGTATCTTAATTATTTTTCCCTTAAAATTATAAAATCAATAATTTATTTGAAATACATTAATTTTCCAACAGCAGTTTCTAATGAGAAATGTACTTGGATGAAGATGGGTTTCTCTGAATGGCAGAGTTTCTAATGAGAAATGTACTTTGTATGAAGATGGCCTTAGTTAAAAACGAAACATAGGCTTTTAGATGTTGCTGGAAGTTCAGGAGCTGTAACTTAATTAATTAACCACTTTCTTACAAGCTTTGGTGTTGCTGAAATTTCAGAAGCTTGGGTTTTGGTTAGATTTGTATTAATTATGATATTAGTATTTTATAAAAGTACTTTGTATTTTCTTATTTCATTGCTCACGTTGCTCTTGCTTCTTTTTCATGAAACCTTGAAGAAAGCCACATAAGCTGTTACTACCCGACACGTTAGATGAAATCTACACATAGATGCCAGTGGTGCTTCGAAAGACTAAAAATCATTCACTTCATCTACCTGCACAAACATTCAGAGAATTAACTCATAAAGCAAGAATTAACCAGCCTTTTAGACTAGAAGATAAAAATCAAAAAAATATGTCCTCTCCCATTCAGCCTGCCGACCCAAACGGAGGACATGGTAACCCACTTGATGACACACAAGTGACACAACTAAGATCAATCCAGCTCTGTAACAGTAAGGTAAAACAGGGAGCTAATAAAGAGCAAAAAAAAAGACAATTGATTTTCATACGTCTAGCCAAACAAAAGCAGACTCGGTTCCTGTAAAGACATATGACCAATGAAAATGGTATTTTGACTATTCTCCTTCATGAAAATGGTATTTTGACTATTCTCCTTCCTCACAACCTGAAGAGTAATAAAATGTGTTGGGTGCATTTTAAGAGTACCACACCTTTTAATTGGTTTTCATTGAACTCATTGGTTTTACCTAGTACCAGATGCACATATAGACAATAATATAAATCGAATCGTCAATGTAGACAATAATTTCCTGTACGTGCACATATACCATTAAGCAATTAGATTTAAAAAAAAAAAAAAACTAGTACCAGATGCTCTAAGAGTAGCGATGTCTAACAAAAGGCTAATATATTATAAATTCTGCCTATTCAATTCCTAGCACGTTACGATACGATGGTGAAGGGATGCCATCCAGTTCGACGCCACATTTCAAGATGAGCTCGGCACAAGTTAGTTTCCAAAATTCCATTCTATGTTATCCGCGTAATATCTTGCGTGGTACGGGTATATTAATTTTTTGCTTTGTTAAAGGAGAAGGATCTATCTATTAACTGTATTACGTTTTATTAATTCAGTTTTTATATTGTTTCAGTTTTCATCCCTGATTTTGTATTAATAATTTCAAATTGATTGTTCCATTTCTGGGTATTACTTGTCCTTTTTTTACTTAATTATTTCGGAGTTTCAGCAGGATTCATAAAAAGAATGCGTCCATGAGTATCTATAACTGTATCACAACAACCAAAGAAGTAGAATCACATTATGGAGAGATGAATGAATTTATGTTTAGGTGTATCACTCTCATCCCCTACGGGATAAGGGTCGGTTTGGTCCTCGAAGTTGCAAAAAAATGGTCAAATAAGTCCTTATATAGAAAGGACGTGCCATTTGAGGTGGCTCCCGGTGGAATTTTTTGATTATTTTTTTTGAGCATCTTATTCATTAAATATAGTTTACTCATACCAAATTTCAGATAAAAATTCAATCGGGAAGACATTCAAATGAATTCTTGAAGATAACTGTGCCGTTAAAAGCGCAGTTATCTTCAAGAATTCATTTGAATGTCTCCCCGATTGAATTTTTAGCTGAAATTTGGTATGATTAAACTAGACTTAATGAATAAGATGCTAAAAAATTTTCATCAAAAAATTCTACCGGGAGCCACCTCAAATGGCACATCCGGACAGAATCTTCTATATAAGGACTTATTTGACCCCTTTTTTGCAACTTCGAGAACCAAACCGACCCTTTACTCCATCCCCTACTAAAGATTAGAAAAATGTATTTCATGTATACAACATTGGACATTTATTAAATCGCGCAACGCGCGTGTAAAAACTAGTTGTGTATACACATTATTATCAAAAAATGTGTATACACATTATTATCAAAAAAATGTGTATACACATTAAAATTAAATCCTTCACATAGATTAAAATCAAAAATGTAGTAATTTTTATCTATTAAGTTATGCGTCAAGTAAGAAATGTGCTCATGAATAAAAGTCAATTTCACAAAATTCCACAAATAAGAAACGTACTAACATATACGGAGTACTACGTATAAGAAACATGGTACCGATAAAAACAAATTGGTTACTGATATGGGTTTTTGTGCAACCACAAATTGTCGTATGTGCAAAGTACAAAGACGTGTGCATATTTGTGTCTGGGTGAATGATTTACCGAATTAAAAATTTAAGATCTTCATATCAATTGCCTAGAATTGAATTTCATAACTTATTTTCAACTCGACTTGATTTTATGTGTGCAAAGTGAGTACAATTATCATGCTCCATTTTATGGAGGATTATTGGCTAGAGTAGGACTGACCTTTTTGTATCATTTTTGAAAAAGCTCAATAACGTTTTTGCCTTGGTACCTAACGATTTCAAAGTGAAGAAGATGAACAGCAACCCTATAGTGCTTCCAAGGAGCCTACTTTCTATAAAAATCTATTTAGATAACTTTGTTGTGTCTTGTATGAATAAACACGTGGTCTATTACTTGTGTCATTTGACATCCTTTGTAACTGCAATATCTATTTTGTTCACACAAAGAAAGATCTTTTTGCCTTTATACATTTTGAAATTTGAAGGGCTTTTAAACTCTTCAAATCATCGATACTTGTTAAAACATTATTGATTGTTCAAATGCCATGATATGATAATCTTTTTAGGGTGAAATTACTTACTCTTCCTTAAGAAAAAATATAGTACTGAAATTTTATTGTCACACATCATTCTGTGTATTTTTGTATTGTATAAGGATGTTATTAATTTGACTGGGTTTAGCCTCATACTATGATAGATACAGTATCGACAGTTGTAAGATACACATATGACAAATATATATCAGACCAGTTTAGAGTATACTAGATTTAAACAAACTAGATTGCACCAATTAAAAACATCCTAAGTATGGTTTGGTATTATTTGGTATAGCCTAGTCTATTTAAGTCCAATCAAAATTTGATTTGATCTAATTTGGTCAGGTATGAGATCTAAATTAATCCAAATGAAATTGTCTTTATGTAGGAAATTGAGTCAAATGACCATTTTTCTACTCCTATTTAATACATTTTCTTTTAATATTTTAAGAAGGTTTTGCATCAAACGACTAATTCCTCTCTCTTGGGGTTTGTGAGTTTTCCACTGCTCTTGTCAACATGGGTTGGAGTGGCTGATTCTTTGACTTTGGATCTTTTATTCGGCTCTTATGGTGCACTAAGATTATATTGGCTTTCAGTTTTCTAAGGTTTAGGATTGCAACGACATCATGGAAAGTGGCGATGGCAGACAAGCAATCTGTAGTTAGGAGGATGTATCGCTTACGGGACACGTCGCGTTGGTCGGCTACTCCCGCTGCAGTGGAGTTAATCGTGGACATTGTCGGTAGGTTAGCAAGAACGGGCGATACCTTCAACAATGTTTGATTTAAAGTCATGGTTCTGGTTGGAGGATGGAGGCCCGTTTCACCCAGTATCACAATTGGAGGGAGATGAAAAGGGGTCGAGAACATGGCACCCATAGTTGAACAAGCGTGGTATTTGAAGAGGAGACAAATGTGAAAAGAGCGGGGAGATAAGCTAACGGAAATATGGAGGTGGATATGTAAATAACAAAAAGTGAAGGGCTTTGGGTTAAAGGACCGCTTAGATTTTTAACTGAGTTACAAATTAAGTTACAAATTACTTTTTTGCATTGTTTTTGGGCCGTAGACTAGCCCTAGTCTTTATTTTCATTTTCTTATTGGTATACCCGAATCAGACAATGGTTTGATATTTCTTTATTTGTTAGGTGTGAGGTTCAGATGAGGGTGGCTCACAAGAAGTCTAGAAGGATGATGTTGGATTTACAAGTGCTCGTGTTGGAATTAACAAATCATATTGCTCTTATGAAGAAGATTGACTCTATCTAGCACGTGGATTTGTGATGGTGTCATGAAAAGGAGATAAACAGTTGTAAACCGGTTGGGAAAAAGAACAATACTGAGGTTTTTATAGTACTGCAAAATAGTACGGAGTAGTACTTTAGGCAGTTACCTTTTTTATTCATGAATTAAATTCTTTTCAACCAAATCATGAAGTTGAAAAAACTTCTTATTCTGCCGACCAAAAAATGCACCTTTTTTGTTACTATCAATTAATGTCTAATGGTAAATATACAGCTGTTGTTTGATAATAAAACCCATTTTTCTATTATACTCCGTATATTTTTGCTTCCCTCTTTTGAGAAATCAAAAGATACAACATACAAATATGTTTTCGCAGCAGCAGCTTTGTTTTCAAAGAAAGAATTTAGTCTTGGACTCGGCCCGGGTGGCCCGACCCGGAACCGGCCCGGGACCGGTACTGTGCTGAACCGGCCCGGTCCGGTGGCCCGGCCAGTGACCGGTCCGAGTAGGTAGTCCCGGGGGTTCCCGGTGCGGGCTCGGTTCCGGACCCGGTTCCGGGCTTTTTAATTTTAATTTTTTCCAATTTTTTTATCTTTTCGGGTTGGGCTGGGTATTTTGGGCCATTTGAGGTGGTTTGGGGGGTTGGGGGTGAGGAGGGGGGTTAATTAGGACCCGAGGCCCGGCCCGGCACGAACCCGGACCCTGTGGCTACCCGGGCCGGTCCCGGGCCTCCTTCAAAAAATCCAAGGCCCAACCGGGCCTAGGCCAGGCCCGGCCCGGCCCAGCCCGAGTCCATGACTAGAGAGAATGTAAAACACAAAACAAATGGAGTTATCTTCAAGAATTTATTTGAATGTCTTCCCGATTGAATTTTTATCTGAAATTTGGTATGAGTAAACTAGATCTAATGAATAAGATGCTCAAAAAATTTAATCAAAAAATTCCACCGGGAGCCACCTCAAATGGCATGTCCGGACAGAATTTTCTATATTAGGACTTATTTGACCCCTTTTTTGCAACTTCGAGGACTAAACTGACCCTTATCCCAAAACAAATGTTATCAAACGAACTCATAATTATATAACAAATGCAACTATGGAAAGCTATACGTGTTCAGGAAGTTGATAATACATGAATACATGCCACACTTTGTATGGTTTTTGTAAAAACAAGTGCAGATTGAAAACATTATACCTTTCATGATCGTTGCTCGAGTCAATCCAACTTGCTAATCGCTATGTACAAAAAACACCAGCCAATCGACCAATGCGAGCAAATCCACAATATTAGCAGCACACCTAGCTTTTATTTGTCATCCTGAAGTGCTTAATAATCATCACAATCTTTTGATATTGAAATTCCACTTTGTGAATAACTACAGATTACAACTGGGAGGTCTGAGAAGAATGGACTAAGCAGCAGTAAACCAACTGCTCCGCACCAATATTGTGTGGGGATCTGTACAGGCCAACTCTGAACAAACAGATATGCCAATTCTACATTGTAGATTCGCATGAAATTTTGATCTTCATATTCGTCAGAAACATCCATATTCTCCATTCTCCCAAGAATAAGACTGTTTTTCTAGAGCCCTAGTTTACACTTTACAGAAGCCATATCCAATAGCAATTACAGAAGCGCCACAAATGCCACTCTCCATCACCAGCAACTCCTCCCTGTGTGGCAAGAGGGGAATTATTCCATAGTTTCCTTATCTGCTGAAAGGCATACTGTGTAAGTCGATATATAGCCTAATGGACGAGATCGATATGTTCAGAAAAGAAGCTGATACTCTAGGGTCTAATGGCATTTGTTTCAATGAATGATAGAAACTTAGCAGTGTTATTGTATCACTATATTGAACACACAATATTATATTGTTACTTCCAATAATACAACGAAACATGCATATAATTGTGGGTTTGAGATAGAAGAGGAGGAGAAGAAGAATGACAACTTACCTTCAGGGAACAGGGAAAATAAGGAGTACTATGTACTGCATTATATAGAATACAACTCTATATATGTGAAAACGGTGTTTCAAAATAGCTCTTCTTTTGGGACGTGGGAAAAAATAAACACCTTAATGCTATTTGCATCCCTACACGGTCATTAAATCCAATATTCACTCTGAATACAAAAATACCATATTCACTCCGTCAATCTAGTTTTTTGTCACATTACAACGAGAGAATATTTTTAGCTCCAATTTCATGTGTCGACTCATGTTAGCCGATCCCAAACTCTTTTGGAACTAAGCCTTGGATGTTGTTGTTGCACAACAAGAGTCAATATTATTCACTACGCATATTTTATTTGCATATAATAAAAAATTACTTATATTATTAAAAAATCCGAAAATGTTGCAAATAATTACAACTCCAAAAACACTACATTTGGATGAAAAGAGAAATGTTTTTTTTTTACTTTTTTTGGTTAACAAAAAAAATCATTTTTTATAAACTTGCATGTTATTATAAAAAAATTATTTTATACGGAGTACTTTTTAAATAAAAACTTGGCATGACATCACGCTGACATCAGTATTACCTCTCTTCCCTGCACCTCCCTGCCCACTAGACCCTTGCTACTACTTCTATGCTGCTGTCTTTAATTTAATTTTGACTGAGTGAATTGGAGTTGGTTTCCCCCCTCCTCCCTCCCATAGGGCCAATTTTGGGTATATCTAGCCCTTTCACAGCCAACACTACAAACAGCTTTATGAGTAAAGGCTGGCAACAGGTTAATTACCTATCTACAATTCTAAATATTGCTTATAATGATGTACATCTAGAGATTTCATTGATTGAGTAAACATAGAAGTGCAGGAATAAGATGTGTGGTTCCGTCAATATTCCTGGATGGTTACAGTGATTGTGAAATGTCTACCAATCAGAAAAAAACATTTATCAGCTTAATATATACATGGTAAAAAGAGAGATAACAATTTGTCAAAAAGTATATCATACTTGCATAAGGATAAAGGACCCCTTCAAGAAATTCAAGAAATGAGTTCATTTTTGCATCACCTGCAAAGAGAATTGGTATAAGTGCAAGAAATAAAAAACAATTGTGAGGTTGCTTCATTTATAAGTGGTACGGAGTATAAATGGAGAGTTGGTATAACTGCAAGAAATAAAACACAATTGTGAGGTTGCTTCATTTATAAGTGGTACGGAGTATATTATACATAGACCAAACTAGGAACTTACATAATGAAGTGATTCTACCACTTGCCATCAATTTGGCTCTCCATTATGAGAAACTTGTAATGAAAGAAAGGCTCGGAATACACTTCAACCGATTTAGTGCCCACTTCATCAGCTTATCAACTTAGAATGACAGAACAAGTAGCTTTTGACTTATTTGGTTGAACTGCATTTTATCAAGCACTTTTGATTTTAAAAAAAATCAGCAGATCCTTCTATATCAGCCAAATAACCTAAATAAACAGGAACTTAGACTGCTGGTCACCTGACATACTTGAACACAACTTTCAGGTTCAATCAATTAATTAGCTTTTATATCAGCCAAATAACCCTTGCTAAATAGACTCTTAGCCTGCGGGTCACCTGTCATCCTCGGAAGAAAAGCCTTTTATATTCATGGAATTAATTAGCTTTTCAGACAAATCACTATCGAGAGTAAATCCCTTCTCCATCATCTGATCCCATATTGCACAAGCCCAAGAAAGTTTCTTTTCATTAATTAATCCTTGAATAATTAACTTGAATGTCACCTCATCTGGACATAAACCCCTCTTTTGCATGTCTTCATAAAGATTCATAGCTTCACTAACTTTAGAAGCTCTGCAAAGCCCGTAAACCAATGCATTGTAGGAAACAACATCAGGGCTCACTCCCTGCTCTAACATGTCATGGAAAGTGCTCTGTGCTGTCCCTATCCTTCCAGTCTTACAAAGATGGTGGATAATAGTGGTATATAACACACGATCTGGAAAAAGATTCATTTGTGTCATCTGGTCAAGAATCATCTCAGCTACATCAGAGTTTCCTTCTCCTAAGAACGATTTTATCAAAATCGTAAAAGTTACTACATCTGGACATATTTCCCTTTCCCTCATCTCATCTAATAGCTTGTACGCCCTCATGAAGTGGCCCGTTTGGCAAAGCGCTCTAATTATTGTGTTATATGAGACAACATCAAGCAAACATTTAGGTCCCATCTTAGTTATCATCAGCGTGTATGCCTTATCCACTTTATTTGCCCTACATAGACCCTTAAGTAACTGGTTATAGCTGTAGTGATCGGGTATCATACCACAAACTTCCATCTTCTCTATCAATCTCTCTGCTTCCCCCAACATAAGCTCATTACAACTATAATTCAAGAAAACATTGTAAGTGGACAGATCAGGATCACACCCATTTCTTCTCATGAATGACTTAATCGTTTGAGCTTTATCAATCCTTCCAATTCGGCAGAACCCATCAATGAGTTTATTGTATATTTTAATGTCAAACTTAATTCGACTTCTCATTACACCTAATGTTAGTTCATATGCTGTATCAACCTTCCCATACTCACACAGACCCAATACGACAGCTCTACAAGCCTTGTAGTCAGGTGTATGACCTTTCCGTATCATCATATCCCATATTTCAATTGCATTGTCAAACCTTCTAATCTTAAACAGTCCATTAATAACTACAGTATAGCTGACTACATCAGGTTCTCTACCTTTCTCTCCCATGACTCTCAACATCTCCAGAGCTAACTGGACAAAGTTTTCATTACACAAAAGATTTAAATATATATTACACGCCCAAATATATGGGACTACCCCAAGCCTATCCATATCATCTAAAAGTTTATGAATAAGCTCAAAATTCTTAACTTTACACAAGCCGGAAATAAATCTTGAATATGTATGAGGATTCAAGGAGAAACCATTTGGCTTCATCTCATGGTAATACTGCTCTGCCAAGTCAAACCGAAAATTCTTAATCAGGACGCCAATGAATCTGTTGTAATCAATGCTGAAAACCCTGCAGTCTGAAGTAGTCATTTTATCGAACACCTGTATTGCTTCATCTACAAGCCCAGTTTTCACATAGTTGGAAATGCGAGCACGATAGATAAGACGATGCTTACCAAGACTCCGATGCATATCAGAGTGTATAATGAAGTGAATGCATGGTGTAAAGTTCTTAAACGGTGAATCTTAAGCTCTCCATTACTAATAAGAGTTCATTCTGGACCTTAGGCATTAACTCCAAACGCCAAGAGAAAGTGAGAATCTGACCTGTACAAGGGCGCGGAAAGACTCTAACTTTAACTCTCAGGGTTTAGGGTTGCGGGCAGAAGGTGATGTTGAAAATTCCGTCTCTGCTCCGCGCACCATCTAAGTTGCGCCTCACACCCATCTTTTGTAAAAGTTGGACAAGCATGTCCTTTCTCACGTCATTAGGTTGCTAGGCGCACCCAACTAATTTTTCCTATTAAAATCCGTATAGTAATATAGTATACGTAACCATGAAGCAGTTGCCTTGTTGAGTTGTTGCATCCTTATTTCCTTAAAGTACTCGTACAGACGTACGTAATTATTTGAAGCACCTCCCTGAAAGGCTGAAACATATCTGATTAGGTTGCTAGGCCTAATTGTTTCTTTCAAATAAAGATAAGTTTTACGTAGTAATATTTTCTAAATTTTGTGTGTGACATGCTTCTAAAAAATAACGAACTATCTATCAAATATACTCAAATTCCTAATATAATCGGGATTACACTTTGTAACTACCATCAAACAACTTCTATAAAAAATATTTGGAATCCATTATTAATGCTCTCATAAATCTTTTACAATCTTCTTATAAAGTGGAGCATGAATCTGAAAATTATCTAAAAAAAATTGTACTCTTGATTTTCAGACTTATGAGGTACTCATCTGCCCCACTATCTGTATCTCACTTCTTCTTTTTGATGTGTTTCATGAACTTTGTCGTATACAATCGTTGTTACTCCCTACATCCCAAAAATGTTCATCAAATTGAATTTTCTTGGTTAATGTCAATCAATTTGGATTAATGATATTTTTGAATCCGAAATTATTTCGAATATGAAAATTATATCAAAATGTTCCTTTAACTTCACGTTCCTTCCAGTTATTCCTGCCTGCTGCCAGATAGCTATGCTCAAATGATAGCCTGCCACATAAGCCCTAGGAATATCCCGGGCTCACTAGAACTACGCCCAGACTCGAGGTCTGCTGTTTAGCCTGGCCTAGTTGTGGGTTCCTATCGTGGGCCTGATTCCTAATTAGGCCCAGTGGGTAATTAGTTTAATCCCGTTCAGGGCTTGATCTCGTTATGGGCTAATCCTATTTATAAGTTGATCCTGTTGAGAGTTGATCCCGTTATAGGCTGAATTCCGTAATTGAGTCATGGTCTGGGTCCATGGTACCATCAATACAGTATGAAATTAAATAATTTTTCATGATTTTTCATATGACACCAATATTGCATATGTAATTTAAAAACAAATAGTATAAATATATTAACGGTTACTGGATTGCACGAAAAGCTAATTGACATAATAACTATCAAACCCCGTAAATTTGAAATTTCCTCATGTTTTCGATCCCAAATCAAACTAAATCAAAACTCGGTAGTCATATAACACAAATAGAAAAAAACACATGCACACACATAAACACATCTAATAGGACACACTCACATAATTGTTACTATATTGAATTGAGTTTTTTGCTGTAAATAGGATTAAAATGTTGCTTAAATTCCAAAATGGGATTAAGTATATTTCTATTCCCTAAATAGGACTATTGTACCAATTTATCCCTCCATTAAATTTAATTGTACGGCACCCTACTTTGCCTGTTGTTCTACTCATATCATACGGACTAAATGCATTGACAAATCTGCAAAAGCCTAGTGAGGGATTTCAATGTTGCGAACAGAGGCAAGCAACCTTCAGCGGCGGCGAGTAACCTTCAGCAGCGGCGGACAACCATCAGCGGCGGAGAGCAACAGTGAGCGGCAGAGAGCGGCAAAGGTGCGGCGGCAAGCGACAGCGAGTGGAAGGCGGTGAAGGAGCGGCAACGGCGAGCTGTAGTTCGATCTCAGATCTGGTTTTGGACTTCAAGCTCGGTGTTCTCCCTCTCTGAAATTCTTCTTCGTCTTCTCGAATCCCTCCTCTCTATTCCGTTTCTCTCTTTTCCCTCTTTGACAGTCCATAATCACTCGACGATGGCAAACACCTATTCATCTTCTTCATTTGGTTTTTTTTTAATGTCAAATTTTATTTAAAAAAGCCAATAAAATGGCATTTTTACTCTTCTAAAATGCCATTTTCTGTTTTGAAAATGCCATTAACATGGAATTCCATATTCATGTTGGCATTTGGATAAACATGTTGGCATAAGTGGCAGTGACTGCCAGATCTGTGGTTGAGGATGCCAGATCCGCACAGGCGGCGGCCGGATCTACGCGGCGGCGGCCGGATTTACGTGGCGGCGGAAAGATCAACGGATGCGGTGGCCATATCCACGGCAGCGACGTCCAGATATGACAGTGAAGCAGCTAGATGTGCAGCGGTCGCCGGTTCTGCGGCGGCTCCGGCGACCGGTGATCGGCAAAGGTCCAGTATCCTGTTTTGCCAAGCTACGGGTTGTTTCTGTCCAAGTGCAGAAATTAACTCCTATTTGGGAACATTTTAAATTTTACTCCTATTCTAACAATTAAAGATGTATTTACTCCCACTTAGGGAATAATCCCTATTGAATTATATATTTGAATAAGTAACATTTTTAATCTTAGTACATTAATTATAATCATTTTTTATTTGTTTGACTAATTTCACAACAGAAAATTATTTTCTCGTATTTTTTTATATTCATCATAAAAATAATCATGTATATTGTTGTGAATATTTTATTGACATACAACATTTCGAATAAATGTACAAAAATAATAGAATATTTTAGGATTATGTTCATATTTACTCCAAATGCATTTTAAGTTTTGTTAAAAAATGAAATTGTTAAACCAATAGTTCTTTTTTCTATGTTTATTTACTATTATTATCATTGCTGAATTAAGAATACGAACAATTTTAATGTTTTTTGTAAAGTTATGCATAAAATCATTGTTCGTAAACTGTAGACCATGATTTACTCCGTATACAGTTTGCGTATTTGATGTTTTGTCGTTTTGAGGGTGCGGTTAGCAAAATGGTGGCTCAATTTTGAAAAGCATCAATTACAATAGGGAATGGGAAGGGTAAAATAGGCTAACTAAGTTACATAAAGTAATTTAAGAGGTGCACGTAGCAACACCCTTTTACATACAGTAAACATAAACATGAATCAGAGTATCAGACACTAACAAAAACCCATGTGTTAAAAGAATTGAAACTTTACATTCTATACATGTATAAAAAATACTCCCTATTAAACTCTTACTTTTTATATCAAAATTTTATAAAAGTTGAATTATTTTTTGCAGGCTTTATAGCGGGTTTAATGTGGTTTTTGAATATGTAAATTTTATTTACTAAGGCTAACCGCAATCCACCCCCCGTCAATAAATCTAATTCCCCTCCATTTTATACGTATTCACCCAATCAATTCAGTTTTTCTCTGCAACCCAACACCGTCAATCACTAGTAGGAAAATGAGCTCTTGCGTCGCTTTATATAGACTTTTAAAGGCGCTAAAAAGCGTCGCAAGTACTTTTACCGGCACTTGTAAAAGCAATGGCTTTGCTTGTGTCGCTAGACCTTCTTACGGCGCTAATGATTGGCATCGGTATAACACTATAAAAGCGTCGCTAAATATGAAGCGCTTTTCAAGCACCTATTGAGGTTCATATTTAGCGCCGCAAAAGAGTTTACTGCACTTTAAAAGCGCCTTCGTAGCATTCACCATATTCATTATTACTTTTTATTTTGCTCCTATTACTTCTGTAGTAATAAGTTTTATAAAGCTTAAAATTATACGGAGTATTAAGAATCTGACATTATAGTAAATGAACTTATATTAATGAATCAATCCAAATAATAAAATATAAGAAGAATCTGACAGTGTTCCTAAAATGTTTAATTCCAAACCTAAGATACAAAAATTCTATTATATTAATGAATCAATCCAAATTAACCAAGAGTGCCTTCAGCTTCAGTACTTCTACAACATAATCTGCAATAACAAAAGAAACACAACAAAATGAACAATGTATTGAAGGAAAATATATAAAGTTCATGAACTAAGCATTCAAACTTTTCAAGTACATCAAATGTGCCACAAAATTGATATAAAATAATATTCCTAATGTTCCAAATCAAACTTGGACATCTAATACTTGGCAGTGCATTGCATTACCCGAATATAAATGCTATATTATAAATGCTACTCAATCATGATGATGAGTCTTCTATATATGTTTAGTACCTGGCGATCTGCAAGTTCACCTCTTCCTGTGAAATCCACTCGGAACAATGTGATCAACTATCTGCATTTTCATCACAAATATATAAGGAAACAATAAACAGTCATAATTAACAAACATTAATGATAATTTGAAGTGTGACATCACCAGAAGTCTACAAGGCTCTTCAGCCACCTTTGCTGCCAGGCCAAGGAGTAAGTTAAACTGATGTTCATATGTGTATGCACGAGCATATCTGATCTTTGATGTGTAGTGGGATAAATAGGATAGAGAGTTAGTAAATTAGAAGAGTTTAATATCAAAATAGGTTAGATAACTTTAAGATAAGCAGAATAAGTAGTTTTACGTTGTCAAGAACAGATACGGGATCCATTCCAAATCTTTCAGCAATTGGCAAAATACTTTCAGGCCAACTTCAAGTGGAACTTGTTAAGGAAACAAAAGATTCATAATATAATCAATTCAGAAGAGTTTCCCTTTCAATTGAGTGTAGTTTCAGAGTTAAGTGGATCAAGAATCTTTGTTAATTTCTTATATTAGATGTTTCGTTCTTGTAGAATATTAGGTATAAAAAACTCAGCATCTTGGATTACCTATGTGTGTAATATACCGTAATTATTAACAACAGAAAACCATTAATAACAGCCATGTAACCAAGTTCATGTAAGTATGCAACTAAAGTCATTGATAAACTAACGAATCATATAGCTTGGTTTGTAAGTGCTAATTCTGATGCATTTGCTTTTATTGCTATATTGTTAAACTGTATTGATATAGTCTAGACATTAACTATATATGTTTATATATCTGCATACAAATTCACTCGCATTTATCTTCTATCGTCGATCTTACCTGACAAAAATAAGCAACTGAAATCTGCTTTGACAAAGAAAACTGAGAAACAGATTCTATCTGAGCACAAGAAAAACAGAGGGAGGCTGCAAAACAAGGAAGCAATCATACTATCTTAAAATATGTTGTATGTGCTCTTGAACGCATTTTTTGTCCCATTGACTTGAT